GAACAGACTTATATTTAATAGAAGTCGATGACAATTCGTAATTATTTACGTTATATATTATTTTGAAGGCATGAGAAAGCACAATGATAGTACAGACAAACTGCTATTATTTTTAGAAAAACCAATATTGTCTATAAGAAATATTCTAAAGCATATTAAAATAATACTATATGCTATGTGTACTATGTTGTTTTAAATGAAATAAAAAAAGTGAAAAATAGCCAATAAAGTTTATAAAAAGTCAACAGAACAAATCCGTTAACATTAGAAGAGGGAGGAATAATCAATTATTACTTTGTGTATTTTAGATTAAAAATAAAATAAAATAAATAAAATTTATTAATAATATATATAAGTGAGAGTAATTGCTTAAATAAAATTAACTCAAGCATTATTCAGTTTCTTAGAATAGGAATATCAGCACTCGCTTCATCACGAATTTAATTTAGAAATTAATTTTGGTTTCCACGAAGAAATTTCTTTTAATTTAGAATTTTTTTCATAAAATACTTTAACAATTATGAAAATATTTCATGCGAAAGTTGCAATTATTTAGGTAGAAAATGGGTAATTGTGAAGCAGTTACACTGGAGCTACTCAAATTGGCTACATATAAGGAAGTTTATTAAATTTCCACAAAACTTGGTCCTGTTCACATCTCTTAAAAAGGAGCGTAGTTGAAGTGCTTTTCAGGGGGTGCTTCAGTAAGTTTTGAAAAAACAATCCTTCAAACTTAATATTAAAATGAAATTAAAAAATTAATTTAATAAAAAATAAAATTGTTGGTTAATATTTTATTTTATATATTAAAATTTGCAACCTCCTCCACTGTCTCCGTAAGCAGTTAAAGCAATTCTTTTAACAACAAATTAAATAGCGAAGAAGGGAAAATTTAATTAGAACTGAACTGTTGCCACTGCATTTAAGCGGATTAATTTATTTCAGTAAAGTTACTCCGCCGCCATTCCGCCATTCCGCCATTGCCTCTCATTGTTGTGGTGGCATTTTAAAATTTAAATATCCTCGTAAATATCTAAAGCATATCCTTTGTTGCATTTTCGCGGAAAAATTGAGTTAAATAGTTTGTGAAATGAAGGAAAACAAATAACGAAAACTCATAGAATTTCAGCTATGAGAATAAAGTGAAAGTGAATACAATATATTTGTTGTATGAAGCTGGAATAGTAAACCGAAGTAAAGGACTTTCAATATTTGCATATCCTTTATCTATAGCAATTTAAAACTGGATTGCTAAATTTTATATAAAACGTTAATATTATAAATTTGATATATTTTCACATTTTTTTTCGCAGAAACTAGAAAAAATACTTTAAAGATTTGCTGTTACTATTAAAATAAAATCATCGGTCTTCTATTATATAGAGAGTCTCTTACTTTTACTTAGTAGAACGGAGTATAAGGCATATTCACAAAAAAACAGATTTAAGAGGACTGCTACACTAATTGAGTCAGTAATTACTGATTCTTAAAGTTCTAAGAACAGGACAGTGATAAAGTAAGTTGTTACACGTTCTTCTTCCTCATTGACAAGACAGTTTCAATAAAAGTCTGAAGCAATCACAAAAACCTAAATTATAAACATTCTTCTTTTGAAGATAATGACAAACTAAATAATTAAACTTAATAATAAATAAAGAACTAAGTAATGAAATAAATAACAATCCATGAGCCCAATTAATTGACCTTTATTGAAACTGCCTTGTCTAGGTTGAAGAACTTACGAGGAGGAAGAACAGCTTACTATATCACTGTTCTGTTCTTAGAACTTTATGAATATAATATATAGGAATGCGATAGAAGATAGAAGAGTTTGTCCTTTTGAAGATAAGGACAAACTAAATAATTAAACTTAATAATAAATAAAGAACTAAGTAATGAAATAAATAACTATCCATGAGCCCAATTAATTGACCTTTATTGAAACTGCCTTGTCCAGGTTGAAAAACTTACGAGGAGGAACAACAGCTTACTATATCACTGTTCTGTTCTTAAAACTTTATGAATATAATATATAGGAATGCGATAGAATGCGGTACATATGTTATGTCTCTTGTTAACACTGCAATAGAGAAGTTAACAAAATACCTTCAAAAATCAAAATAAGAAATAGGGATGAGCGAAATATATCCTACTGTAAAAGTATCATGATGGAACAGTTAATGTCCTAATAGTATCGTGATTATAATCAATTGTTTAATGTAGCTTACTCAAACCAATCTTCTATAATTAAAATAATCGAGTTTCTCTACCAAGATAATAGCATCATTTTCTTAGAAATAAGTTAAAATTTTTATGTCCAAGTTTAATTATTTTTTAAATATAATTTTATATAAAAATCAATTATAATTCACTTGCTCATCTTAATCAATAGCACCTATAATAATATAAACGTATTTGAAATGATTAAAAAATGTAATTACCTCATCTATAGTTTCATTGATATTGGATTCTGCCATTAAATCGCTACATTCTTCAACTAAATTTTCAACGTTATTTTCATGCTCACTTTCCTCTTCATCATCTTCCGAATCATTTTGTTCTAGTATTGGAGATGGAGTGGGAGCCTTTAATTTTGTTGCTGATATATTTGTTGCTTTCGGTGACAGTTTAGGACTTGTTTTGGGCCTACGTTGTAACCAAGTGTGCTCCAAACATTGTGCGGCCGTTAAACGTATGCTATAGAAAGGAATATTAAACGTTGTTGTATTTATTTATTTTCTTATAAAATAATATTTAATTCATATATAAATGATATTTATATTATATTTATTTTTTCATATTGAATATAATATATAAAACTATATTTAAAATTTAAAAAGTTAAAAATATTTACACATAGGTTTCACTTTACAATTTTTTAATATTTATTCTAAATTCTTTGTGCAGTTAAGTAGCACTTTTTTGTGTATACATTTATATTGCAGGTAGCTAGCACTTTATTCTTAAGTTCCACTTCAATAAAACCAAAATATGAAATTCAGAAGTAAGCCAGCCCATTTTTTGTAATGAGGACAGTTTCAATGTCTGACTTAATTACTTTACTAAAATAAATGATGTTGAGGATTTTTTCATCTTTTAATTAAAAATATTTTTAATTTATATAAATTTGAATAAGTACGTAGGTACATTGAAGATACAAATACTACATAGAATTGAGAATTATTTTTTTACAATTAATGCTTACCTTAAGTCTTTTACTAATAATTTTGCTATGAAATCCAAGCACTCAGGGGAAACATTACTAAAGGATTCATCCTCAAAATCATATTTGGCAATTGTTACATTTGCCATTGTTTCTATGTCTGTTTCGCCCATAAATGGTGAAAGTCCTGAAATACTGTTATTGCAATTTTAATGTTGTCGTTGACGTCGTTGTTGTTGTTGTTGTTGTTGGCATTGTTGTTTGGAATTGTTGTGTTTTTTTTTGTAATTGTTGCAACACCAGTGGCAGCATCATTGTTGTTAAGATATTGTTCACGTAATTGGCAAATGTGCATTTGGGAAAAATAAAAGAAAAATAAATGCTTAGAAATTAACTTAATGAAATTCTCCTCTAATAAAAGAGAAATTCCTTAATTTGTATACAAAGAGTGTTCTGCAAAAGAAATTGCACTCTCTTTTATTAAAATTATTTTAATTGGGACAAGAACTTGAATACTAAAAACAAAAAATTAGATAAAATGACTAAATTAAAATGTAAGTAACTTTGCTATGCAGAAACTAATAATAGTCGTTGAAGCACCTAATCTTCCATACCTTGAGATAAGTAACTGAGTTTAGAAGAGAAGTGATTTAATTGAAAATTAAAGTATCTATACACAATATTTTTGTAGTTTCTTAAGACTTTAATTTAGTTAAAAAGGACACATGCAGACAATCTTATAGTTCGCATATCTTCTCATTTAATATTCACACCCTATTTCTTTGGTGCATTTATATTTCAATTTTAGAAGAAATTTCTAATTATAAAAGCGTAAATAAAACAGATTGTATGGAATAACATGGGTACATGGGTACTTACAGCACGTAGCAAATAACACCGACGCTCCACATATCCGTGCCGTATGAGATACAATCGAAATTCACAACCTCCGGAGCGACAAATTCGGGAGTACCGAAAAGAATCTGTAAAGGAAAATAAACAAATTAAAAACAGAAAAAGATGTAATTAAAAAAGCATATTAACAGCTTGTTTCAAGAAGTAATTCGACATATAATTGTCTGTCTTTCCGTCTGTCTGTCTGTTTGTTTGGGTGTTCAAATGTTTCCAAGTTAAAATTTAATTCGGTTTTTATTGCTAATGAACTTTAATTTTGAAGAAACAAGTAACTATGCTTAACTGTGCTCCCACGTACTGCGGTTGTATCAGATACATATCAACAATACCGCAAATTAAAGTAACATTAAGTGTACGAATAGTAGAAAATATACTTAAATATATGCTATGCTTAAAACAGAAAGCAGTTTAAAAGTATAAACTGATTTTTTAAATAAATTAATGTATAAATTAATTAAAAAAATATTATATTATAGTAGAATTATAAATGATACAGAATTATTCTATTTACTTACTTGCAACCGTTTGTCAGGATCAAATTTTCGTGCCAAGCCAAAGTCTATTATTTTAATGCGATTGCCCTCTTGAGTGAGGCATAATATATTTTCTGGCTTGAGATCCAAATGAAGTATATTGTTTCGATGTATGAACTCCATAGCTTCACAAACTTGTCGAATGATGACTACACATACTCGTTCTGTAAGTACAAATTCATCGTCGACCACACGATCGAAAAGTTCACCACCTTCAACTCTACAGATCAAATAGAATTTTTAATTAGTAACTATATTTAGTGGATGATATCTATATTTTTAAGGTTATTGCTTAATAAAATTACTATTTAAATATTTTAGAATATGTAACACACATTTTAAATAATATATTTATTTGTTTTCCTTTTTATACAATTCGTTTTTAGACCCTATACATTAAAAACTATAAGCTTAGTCGAAGGACCACTTTAAGAAACTTGTCATTTGTGGAAAACTAAACTTACTATATTCCAATTTACTATGTTATTTATATATTTTTCCCCCTGCACACAATGTTTAGTAAAGTAACTTATTAAAATGGATTAAATCAAACAAAATGACCTAACACTCCTTGTGACCTAAAAGAGTGATCATTTTGTCTTGAGGAGAGAAGAAGTTTGCTTGGTTGACAATTGAACAAAAAGTTACTCTGAACAATTCGTCAATATTGAATGCCTTATTACAAGGTGCAGAAAAACAGACAATAAACAACAACAATAAAGGATTCTTAAGAAATTTTCCAGAAAGAAATTTTCTAAAGATGTTTAAAGGATGTTGAGACTGACAAACTTCAGCAAACCAAAATAAGTTAAAACGAGCATAAAAAGATAAAACCATTTTAAAATCTCAACTGAAGTATGAATATCAGAAATATTCGTAAAATGAAATGTTCTTATTTATCAGAGCAGTAAATCGGCTGTGAGGTCATACCTCCGAGTCCACTCAGTAACTTGGTAATTAAACCGATTGTTAAATTGTCATAATGACTTAGAGCAGGGCTGTCCAAAGAACGGCCCGCGGGTCACATGCGACCCACGGCTAATATTTGTGCGATCCGCGACATCTTATACAATTTCAATCTACTACAATTACGCAAATTTTCTTTTGGTGTAATAATAAAACTAAATTATTTAATTTTTAAGGGAACGCCAAATAAATGAATTTAAATTGATAAATTTAATTTAAAATTTTGTCGAAAACAATTATGAACGTATGTATTTGTTTCCGTGACCCTCCAATCTGTGCAGTGATTTGTATTGGGCCGCTATCGCATCTAGTTTGTATAGCCCTGACTATGAGTATTGAATTCCTGATCCTGTTATAATACATATTGCTTTGATAAAACTTAATATATTAACGATTTCTTGATGAAACATATATTTACTTATTTTACCTGTGTAAAATTGTAACTAAAAACAATGAATAATATGTAGGTCAAGGTCATTTAATTATACCAACAAGATTACTAGGAATAAAGTCTTCGTTTTTCATGTTACAATAACGTTGACTTGCCATTAATCTATTTTGTCACATAAACCTCTATGGAATCGATCCAATGAATTTTAATTAGATTGAATAATAATTTTCAGTGGTTGAAATGCTCAGTTAGATGAGCTCTCTCTGTTTGTGTTAAATAGGTGTGGATAATTCTATCTATAGAAGTGAAAATTTTTTTTTTTGTTAATTATTTGACTTACAATTCCAGCACAACACACATCATCTTCTGGTACTCGAACGCGGCGTAGAGCTGTATTATCAAGTGATGCTGTAGGGAATTCATTATTTCTACTTCACGCTCCACATTTCGTTTGTCTTCACGCTTAGGAATGGGCACAAACTTTGCGGCTAATTTAAGGCCACTGCACTTCTCTTTGCATTTGTAGACTGTGCCGAACTTTCCTCTAAAAGATTAAAGATTAAGTAAATAATTTCTTGAAAATCATTTTGCATCAAAACGATGTTTAAAATTATTTCAAACCTGCCAACTTCGCTGAGTATTTCAAACTGTTCGTTTGCATCAACGCCGCGTTTTATGGTCACATCACGATATGGAAAGGTCGGTTCAAGTACTGAAATATATAAAAAAAAAAATAATTATTTATGTAATTCATTTTAATTAAAATGCAATTAAAAGCCATCTCATTGAGTCTCATTTCGACTGATAATATAATAAATACATTAAATACTTTTTAATAGCAGTTAATTGAATTATTTTAATTATTTCTGCTTAAATACTTTGAGTATTTTTAAATAGTTTTATAATAATGTTAATAATAATTTTATTTGATTTTTGATTTTTGATATATTTGATATATGCCAATCAAGCATTGTTTTTTGTGGCTGCTCTTTTATTTTGCATGGAATATTTTAAGTGCAAATTATCGCAAATACGTGAGTTTTGAGTAAATTTATCTTTGCAGTTGAATTTGTCAATAAATTTCATAATTGACTTAATTAATGCATTTGACGTATGCCGAATGCTCTTGATGCAGGCCATGCATCTGCGAAATGCAAACCCAGCGTAAATGTGAAATGTGGTTTGTAGTTTGTCAGTAATTTGAAATACTCTTCGCACTCCCCAACAAATGATTTGGTTGTCATAGTGTGTATCTTAAGTAATTTTAATGCAACTTAAGCTCTTTCCCAAGTTCCACTTAGTATCGCTAATTTCTTACAAATTTGGTGGCTGTCATTTAAAAGATACTCAGCGTTTTGTACGAATTGCAGTGTGATAATTGACGTTTTCGATGTAAATTTGTACTGACATGGTATTTATTGATTAATGGAAGTGTTGAGAAAATAATTATTTAATATTTAAATATTTCTATTGATTGACTAAGACATGGCATTAACTAAATGAAAAGAAAATATGTAAAAATTTCGAGAAAAGTGCAACAGTTTTTAGTCGAATTTTAAATTTAATTGGCGGTTGTTATTTCTAATTAAAATTTATAATTAAAAATAAAATTTTTTAAAATTATTCTTAAATGAAGAGTGTTGTTTTGACGTAATTTAAAATGGATAGATAACAGATTGTTAATTTGTTTAATAACAACAGTTATATAAACTTCTACCTCGAAAGGTAAAAAGACATATGAAGTTCAATTGAATTATTCAATGCAGTCAAGGGATATGTTTCAATCTATAGATCATTTTTATTTTATTTTATTTTATTTTATTTTATTTTATTTTATTTTATTTTATTTTATTTTATTTTTATTTTTATTTTTTTATTTTATATTTATTTATTTTTTTAGTTTATTAAGCAATAATATTTGTGTTTTTATTATCATTTTATTATAATTATTAATTACTCAGTACTATAGATGATGTTTATTATCATTTTTTAATATAAATGTTAACGTTGTTTGTCTCAATAGCTTTTCTCTCCATTTCTTTTCGATGACGCATCATTAATTATTAAAACAGAGGTTTTCTAAAATACTGTTAACTAATAATCTAGAATAAAGTGCAAGTTCATTGGAACCATTCAGTACAGAAGTAGCAGAAATATAAAGACAGGGTTAAAAAGTAACAACCAAGAGATTCATCGGTTCTAACTGCTCTTTATATAATTAACTTGTATTTAAAAAAGTTAGAAATAAATCAATGGAAATTGTGTTTAAAGTATGAGGGTTGATTGTATAGATCACGAAAAGAGAAACCTTAAGTATTCAAATAAAAATAAATCAAATCATTGCGATCATGGGCGAGATTTTGTGTTATAAACTAATCTTATACTGCCTTGCGGATCAAAACAAAAACGTCAGCATTGAGGCATATCCTAACATAGAAATTTCTGGCCAGCGGAGAATCCTAAAAAGTCTAGATAAGCCATACAATTCTACAAAACGTATCATGATTGTGAAATAAGTTGGTCCGCAACTATCACGGAATCTGCATTACCTAGAATTCGGGAAGATTTTTTGGTTTGATATCGAATACGTGTTATTTTTGAATTTGGTTGGTGAAAAAGTGAGAACGTATACAAAAATCTTGCCAAAGTCTAGCCAGTGTAAACACAGCGGAAGTCTCTGATAGAAAAGTGAATTTTAATTGAAATAAGTTGGGATTGGTAGTATATCTAGGATAACCGCCAGGTTAAAAAGCCACTACTTCTGCACAACATATATAAAAATATTTAATAATACTACATTTTTTTTAAGTATTTTCTTCTTGGAAGTCTTGAATTAGTTTCTGTTAAATGAACTTCTATTTCGATATTTTTCGATGTCATTTTTTCTGTACTACAAATCAAAGTTTTGCTTGTTAAAACTGTCGGTATCGTTAGATAGTATTGATAAGTGTATAGATATATTCTAAGTACAAGCAAAAGCTTGAGACTCCATGCACTTCTGATGTTAGCTCGAAATTCAGATGTAAGATGCAATTTTGTAAAACTTTTGATTATAACAAAAAAAGTTTGATTTAAAAATATCTTTTCTGAATAAACTATATTATCTGATTGTATTTATATTACTGAAAATATTTTGCACATATGCAAATGTATTTGAGTGAATGTGAATTTCATTTCTGCACGCACAATTTACTCAGCAAGTTACCAGAGACTTAAGTGCCAACATGAACGCTGAACTTTATGGTTTGGAATGGAGTTAAACTAAAATGTTGGGGAAGTATTTACATATATAAGTATACAATTTAGTATGCTTCTATGCATAAATGCGTTTGTATCTAACATTCCCAGAATTGCCACACATCAAATTTATTTAGCGTTTCGAGTGCAATTAGGCAAGAAAACTTGCGAAACCGAAGTTGTCATTCAGTTGCAATAGTTCCCTATGAAGTTTCTCACAATGAATTTTGGCGTGAACTATTAGTGGGTTGTTAAAGCAAATAATTGCATATTATTTAAAGTATTTTTAAAGCATTTTCATTGTTAATCAGTTATTTAAACGAAATTTTTTCAAAATACTATATTCATTCAATTTCAACAATGAAATCAAGTCTAATCAAATTGATTACAGTAATCGTGCTTCCAT